ACCTATAATGTCACACAGGAGACCATAAGATCATAGTGCTTCATCTTAATGAGAATGGGAGGAAGCAACAGATGACATGGAGGTGGAGAACATGGAATTTGGAAGCTGAGCCAGAAGAACTAGGCTGAGCTATAGTAGTAAAAGTATCACAAAATATCCATAGAAGGCCAGAGTACCTGATAGTTCCAAACTTTATTTCAAGTTCCCATTCTTTTAGTTAATTAATTGTGTAGTCCTTTGTAAGAAAAGAAAAAAGAAAAGTCTCTTTATCCCATACTGGGATTTAATGAGTCGTTCTAAGCTTCTAAAAAATAATTTATGAGTTTATAGTTGTCTTATTTGCTGGAGGGTTTTGGCAAGATCCTCAGAATACTGATTTGATCTAAGGCTGAAACTTAACTCTAGTTCTCTGATTCAAAACTTGATATGCCTCTCATCCCCCACCAAAATGATACTTAAGGGAAAGGTAAGAATAGACTTTAGGAACTTCATGACCTGGGATTTCTGGGAAGAAAAGTTGTTTAAAATACAAAAAATGGCAACTTTTTTAACCTTCTAGAGGCAACCCAGAGAAATTTCCTTAGCATTGTGTTTAAATCTCTATAACAGAAAGCAGCTGATAGTTTCATAAATTATGAAATCATTAGTAATTTAATTATTCCAGGTTACCTGCAACCATCTTCACCTATTGAGAACATATTCAGGTATTACCTCATGTAAGTTATAAATATGAGATGATTAATGATGTCTGAGGAAAAAGGCTGTTCTTGCTGCATTTTATTTATAAACTAAAGATGAAAAATTATAGCTCAAAATCTTGCAGTTGAAGTTGACTGGAATTTAGCTTATGCATTAAATATGGCTGTGACTTTGGTTTTGGTGTTTAAGGAATAGATTCAGGGATTAATATATTGTACAGTCAATTTCAGGCATATAGACACAAAGTAATTTTACTTTGAATTTATTCCAAGCATGTGTAGTGCAGATAGATGGGCTGCTGGCAAGCCATTTCTGATTCCAAACAAGAGTAGTAAAAAGCCTATGGAGCCCAGTGTTAAAGAGGTAATTTGCTATACCTAAACAAAAAATACAACCTTCATCTTGCTCTGAATGAAAATCATAAATTTGATTCCTGATGAGAGGAACGAATGTCTCTTGCTTTGACATCAGTGCAGGTGCAGTTATGGTCAGAGGGGTGGATTTGGCACCAGCCTCCCTGGGCCACAGAGGACTTTGGAGCTGGAATGCTTCTGCTGTAGTGACAACTGGCTGTTACCTGAAAGTAGGTGAAAGAGGAACATCAGATGCCCTTAACAAGGGAGGAACTACTTCTTAATAAGCAGTGGCTTTCAAATGTTATTGTCCCATGTACAATAACTTTAGCCCTGTCTAGAACTACAGTGCTGCAACAACTCCATCTGTGGGCTGTACAGCACGGCATGGTGTTGCCTCAAGGAAATGAGTGACATTCTCAAGTATTGACGTGCTTTCTGTGTGTGACTCCCCTTTGAGGAAAATATGTATTGTCCTTTTTATAACTTTGGCTGGTTTCGGTATTTGATGAGGGGTAGGCGGTTCTGACAGTTGTAATGACCATTCAATTTAATGATAAGCCCTAGCTGGTTAGGTACATAACTTCAGTTGCTTAACAGTCTCTTCTAAATATATTGCCCAGTAAATGCTTTAAACATATAACCCATTTATTGTTGATACAGAGATTTTTTTCACAGCTGTTCACAGTGAAGCTATTTCTGTATGCATTGAAAATTGAACTTTTTTTCAGCTTGCATTTGATAAAATGTGTTAACTGAACTGGCAAAATGTATTTCTGCAATTGAAATTTTTGTGTCTTTCCTCAGGTCTCCATAGCAATTGTAAGGAACACACAAGCTGTGTTAGAGCACAGCTTTATCTGAACATTATTACCTTTGTGTTAAGAACATCCATTTTTTTGACTCAATATTTATTTGATGCAAAGGACAGTTTAATTGTACTAAAGTTAGTTTAAGTTAAATGATTGATTCTTTTAGGTTAAAAAATACTGGCTAATATCATTAAATAATTTTTACTACCCTGTTTATTCCAAGACTGATAATACACTGGAGATAACAGTTCCGGCTCAGATGGGCAAGTTGACATAAGTAATGCAGAGTGCAGTAAGAGAAATTAAGTTCATTAATGTATATTTTTGCATGTATACTTATTCTATATTGTCTGAATGCTTAAGTATATTTAGACAATAGTTATTAATCACTAAGCAATGGTAGTTAATAAACATTATACAAATTAAACTGCAACTGAATGGCAACTAAGATTCTTGAGCAAGACTGCTAGGAAGTGCTACAAAAATTAGCAAATGATTGAGTGAATTAAGGAAAAAAAAAAAAAGGCCTAATTTCCTGTTTTATCATTTATGAGTATTATTCCTGTTCATTAGGTTAAAGCAAAAGGCAGGGGGGAGAGGGAGGAGACTATTCTGTTTCTGAATATCCAGCAGAAGACTCTCTAAACAGGACAAGTTTATTTAAATGTTGAAACTTATAGACTAAAAAGAAGAAAAAAAAAAATCAAATCTGGCATTCAAAAGCCACGGGTAACATTTTAATATTTAATATAGCATGAAGAAATGTGTAGTTTTTTTGCATGGTCCTTTTTTTTGTGTGTGGATGTGCAGAGTGCTTTTCCTTTGGTGTATTTTCTGATTATTTTTTCTTCTGTTTTACATACATTTAGATACAAAGCATTGACTTCTCCATTCATCGTCACCGCTTGCAGTCTCTCATTTAACTAGACAACTTTCCATGTTGTTGAACTGTACTTAGTGATATAAGGTGATACTGTGGTGAAATGATGTGCTTTACCCTAGAAAATGCTAGCAAAAATGTGACCTATTGGTGCTCTGGTGTCAGTGTGATGCCAGTCTTGTCCTCTGTGGGTTTTTTTTTGTTGTTGTTTTTTGTTTGTTTGTTTTTGTTGTTTTTTGTTTTTTTTTTTCCTCCTAAAACTTGCTTATATAGCTTAACCTCAGTATATATAGCAAGGAGAATCCATTTATTGCAGTAAGAGGGTAGTAGCTAGGGTGTTTTTTTTTTTTTTTTTTTACAGCACCACTAAGCATCAGTAAGTAACTAGAACCTCAAAGAAAAATTACTGAAACAAGTCACAAAAAAGTCTGTTGGCAGATAGCTCCCTATTTGCACTTTGCTTCCATGGTTTTGTACTGTTGCCTTTCTTCATGTAGGGGGTGCACGCTGTACATTGCTGCAATTGTGGGTACATTGTTGTTAAAATAATTGTTGTTAAAAATCACACTGAGTAAGAAAGCCTGTCTTTAATTAATGACTGTCTTTAATTAATGACTGTGAAAATTTAACGTCTGAACTGTATCTTTAACTAAGTAGAGGGAAATGTTGAATAAGCAATTATGGTACCATCACCTTATAGGTGGTGAAACCAAGGAACAGAAACAAACTAATCAGCAAATGTAATAAAACTTGTGTATCTTACAAGTTTATCCCCTGGCTTACTCCCTTGAATGTACTGTGTAGTGTCTAATAAAAGTCTAGGAAACTTGGATTAATAACTCAGAATTACCAGATCTTTAGATGTGGAGAGGAAAATCTTAAAGATAACTTCTAACATTTTAATATATTGTTTATTTTAGGCTGTATTGCCATATAAAGTTAAAATATTACAGAAACTTTAGGCTAAATGTACACTATCCTTTTTAAATTTCATCCAGATGTTTTAAAAAAAATCTTTTTGGTATATTCAAAAAGCTTGAGAAATTTTACATTTTGAATAAAAGTAACAGAAATCTTGCATTTGTATGTAAAAAACAGTAGTAGTATTATTGTTGTTGTTATTATTATAACTACTTTAAATTACACTAATATGTTTTCTTAAGGCAGTATATTTTTTTCTGGAAAATACCTTTCGCTTCCAGTGAGTGGGTAGAAAATACAGACTATAGAAACTGATTTAGTTCCAAATTGTATTCACAACTAGTTCATACAAAAACATTAAATTAATGTTGGTACTCCATCTGCCTTTTCTCTTCCAGTAGATCTATTTCATATCTTTATTTGTATGCTGTAAATCTGAACTTTGACATATTTTCACATTTTAGAGCTTAATCAAGGAATTGAATATTCTTACTATGTGTATTTTACTACAGCCCACATATATAAATAATTTTTGTAGTTTTTCTGGCTAACTGCACACAGCACAAAGGTCTTTCAAACCCCTAGCATTGTCTTCTCTAATATACTTTATAATACATACCCTTCTTTCATGCTCTGGTGAGACAACAAAGAAAACACTTTGATCATGAAATTTGGCCCTCTAATGGGAATAAGTCTCTTTTCTTACTCTAAAAAGTTTTACTTCTCTGAATTGGTTCTTGTGGCACTGCATTTTAATTTGGGGCACTCTGCAGCTCTGGAGTTCTATTAAATACAGTTTTAAACAGAATAGTTATCAGATTTTTTTTTTAATCATCTTTTTATTGAAAGTTTCTCAGAAAATAAATGGAGCACAATTTCTTAAAGACTATGATAATTTTATTATTGAAAAAACCAAAGACTTATTCCAAGAGTTGGGAGACTTGATTCTATAATAACTTCTATAATAACCCTTGGAAAAAGTTACTTTATTTATTCGTAATATCTCAGTTTTCCCATCTGGACAATTGTATAATATAAATAAATAGGAAATTGATGCTATAATAGCAACTTAGGGTTTTTGTTCCTACTCTGCAGTGCAGCCAACACAATATATAATTTCTTGAATATCCTAATTAAATAGGCTGTTCAAATTTTTATCTAGAAATATTTTATATTAAAGACTTATTATCAGATACTTTTCTCAATAATTCTTTTTTCATTTCATTTTTTTTAACTTATAATAGTTGAGATTTTCACTACGCATTGTAATGCCTTAATCTTTGCGTCCCCTAGATAGCTACAAATTCTTATTGATCTGTGTCATCACTTTGGCAGGACGAACTCTGCTGGAAAAGCTCTTCAGTCAGCAGGAGAATGCACCACAAGAAGAAGCAGAAAAACTGTGTTCTCGCATTATTGCAATGGGTCTTTTGCTTCCATTCACTGACTGCTTCAGAGAACCGTGTAATCAGAGTGCCCAGCAAAGCACACCCACGTTTGATGTAAGTACTGAAAAAGTTCTCTTTTGTCTATTTTGCCAAGCAGGATATGATTTATCAATGGCTTATTATTGATAAATGAGAGTTAGTCCTTTTAATGAAAATTGCCCGTATGAGAGTGGCCAGCTATTTTCTGAGCTCAGGTGTGTACGCTTTTGTACCCAGGTAAGCGAAAGTTTTAAACAGTCATCCTACAACTTGATTTCTTAACTTTTAAACTCATATCTTAGTCTGCTGTACTGTTCTTTACCTGTTGTTTTCATTAAGTCTTTTTCTTTGAATCAAAGCTCTCTATAGGACTACCAATAGTTCAACCCAGTAGCTGCTTTTCTAAAAATACAAATTAAAGGAACAACAGAAAACAGCATATTGCAAAGCTTTACAGAATGGAAATGGGATGTCTATGCTAGATAATTTTACCCCCCTGAAAGGATTTTTGATACAAAATAGTGCAGGGGTCAGTGCAAATTTGTTGGCATTCCAGCTAGTGTTATCTGTGCCTTTAGGCTACCTGCCAGAGTGCTGTTATTGGCGGTGTTTGCATACTGTTACAAAACTGTGATGTAGATGTCACGGAGTATACTTTTTCTTCCTCTTGGATAATGAATTAAACCTTAAGATGTCTTTCTGTTGTATGATACTGTACAACACATGAAACTTTAGAATGAACTTATTTTTATGATCCTTGCCATTAAATTTTATCTTTGACACTTCTTTGTACTGGTTTATGTGACTGAAGATAATCAGAGTTTCACCCTTCATTAATTAACTTCAAAATAATGTACAAATATTAACTACCATACTTAATACCTTACTGATATAGTTAAGATCATCCCTATTCTATGTATTAAGCTGAAGCTTGTTTAGAAATGCTAAAAAAATGATTGGCATAGATATGAGAGAACGAGTCTTTTTACGTTTTAAATCTTTCTCATCTTCCCTGAAGAATAGTTTAACACAACTGGTGAAGGCAAAATGGGTAGAATATATTTTTCTGATTAATTCTTAAAAGAAATAAGCTTTCCTAGAACTTATTTACAAAACAAATTTTATGAAATAAAAAGTTTGGAAAGAAGAAGGGGAGGCTTTTTTGTTAACTGGTATATCATACTTTGATTAAGAGAATTATTCCGATTATCTTTCATTGACCATATCCAACAAGGTGGAGTCTGAAAAGAAACAGTAGCCTAGCCTAGTGCCATGTGAACAGTTTGTTAAAGTCAGGAATTTAAGATGTTGCTGCCTAGCAGTGATCTTAATTTGAATTGGACTATCAGGTAAGCCACAGATGCTCTGTTACTGTTTTTCTCTTTAAGTCCCCTAAAGAGATCATGCTTTTGTAAAATTGTGTCAGAAGTGGTGTAAAGCCCTGTGTATGTGTACGCAGCTAGTCATGCATCCTACTTCAGAGGACCATACGTCTATGTTGAACACTAGGTTCTCAGTAGCTGAATTTCACATGGCACAAAGGTGAGAGTTGCTGCTATTGAGTTTGGGGATATGTTTCTGCTTTAGTCTTGGTGATCACAGTACCTGTTTATTCATTACATACCCTACAAGGGTGAAAATGTTTAGAACTTGCAGTATAAACTCTAGTGGCTGAGAACTTCAAAACTGGGCTTCTTCTAGCTGATTTTGCTTCTTAGAGTGAGTAAATAAAATATCTTACAGAAAATAAATGCTAATAGTTTTGTAAGGAAATAATTAACAGCTAGTGTGAAAAAACTTATGGTGATGCTGTATGCTACTTAAAAAAGAATGCGTAAGGTCTATGACTCGTGTCCCCTTTTGCGTCTTTCTCCATGTCTGTGCTTTTTTTCTTATTTAGGTTTTCTTTTTTTTTTTAATTCATTAGAACAGGATTTTAATGTTGATCTGACCATTGATTTCAAAGACAGAGGAATCAGGCTAGCCTTAAGTAATACACATTTCGCCCATCTAGAATTAGAAGATACATAAAGTTGACCTTACTCCAAAATTGGGAGCAGAGCCAGTCCCATATTCTTCCTTCATCTCTGAGTTCATCAGATGTTCCTCCAGTTCCATCCTGGATTCCCTCCAGTTTGGCTGGTGTCCTTTTCACTCAGCTGAAATTGCCATCAACAAAGCTTCTGCAACCCTGTCCTGGTCCCAGACAGGTTTGTCTGCCACCTTGCTGTCCTTCCTCCCTGCTGCATCCAGCTCTGGTGCTTGCTTGTTCCTTAGTGTCACTCATTTGGCTGTTTTGATTTTTGTCTTAGTTCGGTTCTTGTAAAGTCTCTTGGGTCACTCCTTTAGCATGTTTCTTTTGCAGACTTGCCAATGTTTTTTCCACTGAAATCCCTCCTTTTGTGTCTGACCCCTTGTATTTCTGAGCTTTAACTAATTTTTTATGTTGAATAAAATCCATAATTCCCCTTTTGCTCAAGTGTGGTCCCACAGACTTTGTTTTTTGAAGATGTTAGGTTACAGTTTATGAAAATAATTCAGTAAGTTTTGTTCACTCTGATCTATTGCTCATGGCTTGAGATGAATATAAACAGATTATTTAAAAGTCCTACTCTCTCTCTCTCTGATCTCCTTTTCTGGATGTCCTCCAGTGAATTTAATTTAGCACGGCTAATGCTGAACTCTCCACTGTCTTGAAATGTTTGTAGTTGCACACTCTGATTATATTCTCATCTTCTTTTTACTCATGCCCGGTGGTCACCTCTATTCTGCCTGCCTTACAACTGTGTATCCAAAACTTGTGTCTCTTTTCTCAGTAACACACAAGCTCTGTTTTGGTTTTTGGTTAGGTTTTTTTTTTTTTTCAAGATATTCCAGGCTTCAGTGTGGGCCTCTGCCTCACCCCATTAAATAATTGTACACGTCTTTTGCTTTTCTTGTTGAATCCTATTTCTTTCTCTTCCACGTTTTCTGACTGCAATTAGGCAATATATTAAGAGTAAAGTCAACTTGCACAGCTCTCAGTTTCTTGAGCTAGTATTATAATGGCTTCTGGAAGACAGTTTCATTTAAACTCTTAGCACTGTATTTCTGGTGTAGATTACGCTTCGTGGATGTGATGTTTACTCCTTTGTTAGTATATGGCAAACATGAAGGACCAACAAATACCCAATGAAATCATAAATCTTCAAAGAACTAGCAGCTGTCATCACATTTATACTGAGGATGGTGTACAGTTTTCAGAGGCTTATAACTTGGTCATATTTTGGATAGATTTTAATGATGATTGGAAATAGCTTGTTCCTGAAGTATCTCTGGCATTTTTGTCAAATTTCAAATCATATCCAACTGAATAGAAACTTTAAAACTGTTTTAAGAACTTATGAGTAAAATTTCATGTTCTATCTTGGCCCATTTTATCAATTATTTCTTTCAAAGCAAATAGTGGCAGATGCCCAGAATAAAAGATTAATCTGAAAAATAAAAGTTGAACAAAGCTTTAAAAATAACAGTAGACAGGGTTGGGATTTTTAAGATGTTTGCTGTTGAAAAGCAGTGGAAGCTTTTGCTGTAGCTCTTCCTATCTACTCTTCTTATAATGTAAAGAGTACCTTAAAGAGTAAGAAGATGTACAATGGCAGATTGGCTGTCTAGAAATATAATGCTCTTTTTGCTAGTTTCCTGTCTCCTGGAGAGACTGCTAAATATTGCCTCATGGATGTCATGACTTCTTACTTGTCAGACTATGTTTACAGCTTTTAATTGTTCTGCTAGTATTTTATAAAAGAAAAAAAATGGTTTTAAAAATAAATTTTTTAAAAAATAGGCCAAGCAAGTAAATGCACACCTTAGAGGAAGGTAGGTTAGCAAAAGCCTATTCAAAGAATGTTCTCAAAAAAAATTGCTTGCCTTTTAAATAACTATTGACTGCCTGACTTTTAAATTTTTCCCTTTTTAACAGCTGTGACTTGTTCGAGAGCGCTTCTAAAGTTTCAAATTAAAATAAAATATCCTCTGACTGAATGATAAGTAAGAAATTAATGCTTTGTGGAAAAACTCTGTCATTTCCAAATAACTGCATCATGTTATTCAAAAATCGTATTTCTGTAGTTCAGGTGTAGTCCTAAGCTTTTTAGCATGTTGTTTTATTATATTATTCTATTAGAGTAAAATAAACAGAAGGCTAAGCTGGCTAAACAGTGCATACTTGTCAAGAATGTAAAGACAGGCAAGTTTTGCAGCCACCTGTTGGAAGACCGCAATTTTCAACAAGTAGACATCACATCTACTTAGTTAACGAACTATCACAGAAGCTAGAAGATGACTATTTTTGGAGAGCCATCAGTAGTGTGCATAAATTATACAGAATATTAGAATTTAAACTGTTCATACACCAATAAAGGAAGCTGGTATTTTCCTATCAATGCAAGGCAACTTTATTTAGCTTCACTGTGCTGTTAAGAAATATTGTCTGTACTTAGTGTTTGTATTTTGTCCAGTAGTGGCAATTACTACAAGTGGTGAATGTGGAAACCCTAATTATGACTTCACATTCCAGATTTTCCAGTTCACCCTGTGCAGTCTTAAGCTATGGGCATTTTTTTCTTTCATAGCAGATTTCTACTTTTTTTCTGACAAGCTTTCGAAGTAGCTTTGTGTGTTGTTCTGAACATTAGGTTTAAAACACTTAAATTCTCAGTGAAAAATTATTTTGTGATAGAGGCTTTCTATTAAAATTTTGGAAGTGCTTTTAAGAATAAAAACTGAGCATTTGGGAACTTGTTTGGGGAACTTAATCTCTACTGCACACTTAAAGGTCCAACAACTGCTTTTTTCATGTGTCACTAACTGGCAATATCTTCTTCCTTATGTGTCTGAAATGCACACTAAGATTCCGTCTTTATTTCTGGTGTCATTTTGATTGGGATAGCTCTCTTTACATCTTTCCCGGTGCTTTTATTGAATGCTGTTACTATGTTGAGTATGGCTGGTCATGCCTTCTTGATTATAAATTATTTCAGCATATTATATAATGAAAGAGCTAAATGGACATCTTCTGGAGGGTGTCATTCTTT